GTTATACCTCAAAATAAAATCTAGTAATCATTAATGACAGGTAAATCACCAGGAGACCACTAAACATTACTTCGAAGAATTAACGAAAACAGACATGTCGCAGTGTAATCACTGAGCTGCACAAACATTGACTTTGAGAGTAGTAAATGAATTATGAATTGGTTCAACTTACGAATATGTTCAGACAATGGGTTCAAGTATTATTGATATTTCCTTGGGTTCCGAATGGAACACAAAGCTTCAACTGAACGTCTCTATTCTGTCCTATTACATGCAGTCCTCTTCACCTGGCCTCACGTTTGCCTATAGGCTTATACCTCTTCCATATGATTGTCGGATGGTGTCTTGGTATTGCCTGAGTGACAGTGAGGCTCTCAATGTCACCTAGTGGTTTTCTCAACGTGTATCAGATCTATCTCCATTTTCTCCTACATATTTGTTGCGTAACAGGTTTTTGGTTGATTTGAGCACAGAACTTCCTATTACTCATTCTTTCGCGGTATCTGATCTCCAGAAATGGGCCAGAGAAAGCCGCTCTTCATGGAAGTCTTCAGTAGTTTGTCGAAGATTACTTTTGTAACGCACCAAGTTTCTGGCGCATATCAAGGAAAAGATTGGACATTGATGTTTAAAATCCGAATTTAATTGTTTATGCTGACAGCGGCAGATTTCCAAATCAGTTTCAGAGTGATGATGGTCTGAATTGCTCTTCTAATTCTTGTTGTGATATGGTTCGAGAAGGTAGTTGATCACATTGCGGGATTCACTAACAGAATTCACTGACTAAATGGAATGAGATAGAATTCTGTCGTTTACTTATAAGATCGAGCTTTGAATTATAAGGAGTAATAAATGCTGTCAGGTAGAAACGCCTTTCATGAGCATGATTTCAACTCACATTTCTCTTTACCTAATTATGATCAACAAACCATGATGAGATAGTCAGGTTTTTCATAGTTCCCTGCAATTGAATAGCTAACATGAAGAAAGACTATTTCAAAATAGCTGGGTACTGATTCGACTGGAAGAAGTTAGTCCTGTCTAAATGTCATCGAGGGAATACCACTAAAACCTTCAATGTTGTATGAAACTACACTTTATCTCAGATTGCATGTTCCATTTATTAAATAGGGCTGAACACAGTGTGATCAGAGGAGGTGAAGATAAAATAAAAATGACTTTAATTTGCTTTTCTATGAGGTAGTGATGTCAAGTATAAATCCAAGATGCCCTTGAGGTTAGCTGTTGACACTCAAAATGACAAGATGATCAGTGACTGAACTTACACTGATCCTACAAGTTGCAGCATGAGGTTGCGTATTATAGCTTCAAATTTATCGGATAATGAGTCGCTAGTTTTCGATGTTACACCTAAAACAATTCTGCGTGGACTGCTGTTTGAGTAAAGTGCAAAATGAGTTTCTGGATAGTGTCAGGACGTGATAAATTGTTTGGCTGAATATGAAAGCCAATGTAAAAACTGTAAATAACAAATCGAGGCATATATTTCTGAAAAGAAAACATGTAGTTCAGAGAAGAGGCTATTTTCGGCAAATTCATGTTCCTAATTAGCTGTACAGTCTCATTTATATACAATTTTTCATGCAAAAAGTAGCAACAAAATGATGAGCTGTCACAACCAAAGTCGTTAATATCATTCATTGAATAAGATAAGTTGAATAAGTGTACTAAAGACACGTATTAATGTGAATAATTTAATGGCTCGGTTGTAACCAAGTTGCAGATTAGTTAAGAAATAAAAACGTTGTAAGGAGTTAGATAAGCAAACAAACGAATAAACAGAAACCAATATTTCAGAAATCCACAAGATTGTTACCATGATAGCAGAATTCGTTGGATAATTCTCTTTTGTATGCATAGCTCCTGTTTCTTTAACTGAATAGCTCACCTTTCAGCAATGCATAGTGGAAACGAAAGTGTATTGTCATTTTTCATACAAATAATCGTAATAATCATACTAACTCAGTCATGGAGTGATGCTCGAACACACAGTTCATGATCTAATGCACCCTGGTTAGCTATTCACAGAAACAGAACAATGAGTGAGCTTAAATTCGAACACATGTACTATTAGTTTCTTCGAATATTCTGAGAAATGGAAAATATGTATAGCTGATGTATATGGTAATTGTCAGAGTTTCTCGTGAAACATACGATCACATGACAAGCCTAATTTGTACATATCCAATTTTGATGTGAGCATTTTACATAACACTCATACTCTAATGATCGTTTCAATGTGTCTTTTGTCTATGAAAAGTGTTCATTTCTCTCCATATTGATGTTCATTACAACGAGAAGTTTTTTGAGATCTGCCAGCAGAGCGCAGATGGAATATAAAGAGAAAGTTATTTATTTTAAGGAAGTAAATACTTTAACGTGTAATCAACTACGATACAGTCAGTCATGAAAGGATAACAGAACACACGGTCACACCACCACGGGACACATTTAACTGAGTCAGTGACGCACGCACAAAACTATGAGTGAACTCGAACTCGGACACATGTTACATAATTTATTCAAATAGCCTGGTGACATGCCTTAAGCTGTCGGACGGATATACAGTTTGTCAAAGATATTACAGTACATAGGTTAACCGGATGCTTTTCGATAAAAATAACTCTTTTCACTCTATGTATGTGCATCTGTTGATACTGAAAGTGCTGCAATAAAATATCCGTAAATAATCTCAGTTTTCAGTGAGGATGGGAGTAGTGAGTTCAAAAATATTTGACATTTACTATTAAAATTAATTACATTACTTTCATGATTTTAAGCGTGTTTCGAAGTGAATATACAACATTGGTAGGTTCTTATACTACGAAATTTATTGAAGGAAGGAACTTAATAAAATAAATGTGATTGATATGTGTGATGACTGCAAACTGAAATATTTTGAGGAAACAGTCAAATGTAGAGATTCACCGAGTTTTTCAGATATATATATATATATATGTATCTTTCAGAACATTTAGGTATCTAAATAACTTCCTAATGAAATGTAAGTTACAGTCCAAGAATACATAACTGAAGATATCTGGGATGTTTCTGAGATACTCAAATATTTCAGACACTTCATTCAAACGAAGCCAGAGCTGTTTCATTTTCTGTCGTTATTTATGAGGTTAGAATTTTCGAAAGACTCTCAGGAATAGTCCACCTGCTGACATTTACTTATTTGAGAAAGTGAAGACCTTTTATTGTCTACTCTGTCAGTATTGGATGTTAGACGTGTCTTGATGAAATGAATATATTTGTACTTTTATGTGCTGTCGATACACTCTACCTCAAGTTCAAAATCGGTACAATCATTGTGACACATGTGCAAAAATATTCTTGGGTATTTTTGATTACTTTATTTTAATTATGAGGGTTCGGTCTGCAGTTTGACGATTGTAACACTGCGAATTTAGAGAGATTCTTAATACTACCTAAAGATGTTTGTGATTTATGGTTCGTTTTCATCTAACCAAGTCTGCAATATCTTCTTCCAGACGCTATCAGAAGTCTTTGATAGGGGGCTAAGCAATGTAGATCTCTATAACTATCTCAAAGTAATTAACTTCTGTCTTGCTTTCGCGATCCACTCTGGCTTTGACATACTCCCTATTGTGCCAGTAGTTGAAACAATGTAAACAGTTTGAGGAGCGAAATTTAACCATGGTTTCATTTGGAAACCAAAATTTTTCAGGTTAACGTGTGCCATCTGCTTGATACTACAAATGGTACTCCAGTAAGTGGGCATAAATGCGTGGTACTACTCACTACTGATTAACTGGGATGAGTAGTTTGTGTACCACTCACATCAACCATCTTGTGAAACCAGCTGAAAATAGACGCAGTTTCATAGGACTAAGCGTTTAAGTCGAGAAAATACTGAGAAAACAGTATTTATTGCATGCAAACTGGTAGAAGGAATGAATGATGACCAAGCTAGCGTTAGCGATTTTAAAGTTTTAAGTGATACATATATATATGTATTCATTTTTATTTTTCCTTTAATTGCACATGTAAAGGTGGTGTAGGAGATGTGGGTAAGTTTCTACAATTTCTTCCTTGTCAATGAACTTCAAAATTGCTGTTTTGTATAAAGAAACGTCTATAGGTGAATGCACGGTTCA